TAATTTCTCATTCCTTTCCCCCCGATGCATGCCGCGATGGTTTATTCAAGTCCTCTCGCATCTCCCTTATGCGAAATCCGCTCGGTATAGCGAGCGAGTGTAACCTGAGGCGAATGGCATTCGGTGTCATATTTCAGAATAATGTTCGGGCTCTTCAGCGTGGAAGAAGGGGGCTGCCGAGCTCGTGTTATACATGGCGGCGGCATACTAATGCAGCGATCGCGCCTCAAGGCCGAAAGGGCGTCGCGCGGAATTTAAAGGTCCATTTTTGCGCAACGTCGGATATGTTGTGATACGCGTGTGAACGCGACGGTGTAACTACGGCAGCTCGACTCGCAACATTCGGTCCCCATTGTAATATACATAGTGCTACAGGGAAGCCGACAAAACGAAAGAAACTTTTATTTAATACAAAAATGCGACAAATAATTTAGATAATAATTACCTAGCTATAATAAATATTCGATAATATGACGAACGAGATGAAGGCAAAAATCACTGAAATCGCTTATAATAAATTTTTTATGTAATTATATCTTTTATAATATTAACTTAATATCAAAGAGCTTTCTAAATGCGGCCGACAATTTCCAGGTGCATATATAACAAGCACGTTGTAAAAAGAACCGAGCGCACCGCGGAGAAAACGCACGACGCTGTGCGGATATTTTCCTCGCAAGGATACTCTCATATTTGTCTAACCGTTTCCTCGTTTCTGTGTATAACAAGTCGAGCGACATTACGCTGGGAGCGTAATTCGTATCTTCTTTCGAATAATTCGCGAACTTGTAACAATCCACCCGCTCTCACCGACCGACCGACCGGTTGCTTGCATTCCGCGTTCTCCCGTGCCGGAAGCGGCGACGTAATTTGCATCATCCGGAGTAGTTTTGAAAGTTTTAACGAGAGAGACAGAGCCGCTTGTATAGTTGGCGGCGGCCTCCCCCGAACTTCTGTACACTTCCGCAATTGTTACACGATTCTCTTTCGACTCCCAATGCTTCACTTAAAGTATTTCCTTTCCTCTTCTTATGTCTTTCCCGTCTTTCCTCATTTCCGGAACTAAGGATATTGTTATACTTTCCTGTACTTGCACGGAAACACTCGTAGGCTCGCAATGTACGAAAGCCACGGTTACCTCGCGATATTCCTATTGAATATATATATATACACAACAAAAAAAACTGAAAGAAAAAATGGTTTGTTCTTCCTTCCTCCTAAAAAAAAGGAGAATATTTACCACCAAATATCTTCTAAAAATATTTTTTGCGGCAATAAACACCGACAACGGCAAGACTGGCATTTGAAAAAATATTCGCGCAAAAATAATCTCGCTATATACAGGCCTATCTCTCGCGTTTCGCGGCCATCGGGCGAAAATGTTTTTTTAAAAACTTCCTCGTCTAGTGCTGGCAAAAGGTGACAGAGGGAGAAGACAGACAAAATATTATGTGACAAGTCGAAAAACACCGTACTCGATCCTACGTCTCCTGCTCCAAGAGATGTCTATCAAGTTTTCGCATCGCTTTAGGGCGGGAAGGAATAACCAGGTATGACGAGAACGCGCTCGGTGCTCGGTTAATTGAAGATTTGCTGCCGCGGGTGGTGAATGATGGGGCTATGGATGGGGTGACTTTTGTATTCCCCGGGAGCGGACATATTTTTCCTTTCTTCGAACCTCTCCTCCGCCTTCGCTTTTACACGGCGCGTCGTTTCCTCCGCGAGAGCTCAAAGCTTTTATTTTCTCCGTTGAGTTTTGCAGCTTTCTCTTTGTCGCCCGTATTTCTTCTACCCACCGCTGACTATGTGAAAGCGCGTTGAACACAATCTTTCCGACAGCAATATCACGACAGGTAAAAGAAGCGAGGTAAAAAGCTTTGCCATTAATATTATAGTATTTTATATAAATGAAGCAAAACCGGATCTAGTGAAAGGCAATTAAAACTTAACGTGTGCGTAGATATCAAAGAGCGGTAATTTGACAAAAGAATTTACGAGAATTAAATTAAATCAACACTTGTAAAATATATAAAATAATGAAACATATAAAGCTATGCTCATATATCATATAGCTATATTTCCATTAATTGTAAATATTAGTTGAAGATAAAACGAAGTGGTTTATTAAAATAAAAAGAATGTAAAAACGTACTATATAAAAAAAGTACCGCCGAGATAGCTGCGAGATAACTATAAAATGAGAAACAGCCGCTTCGACATTCCGTAAAGATTATCGCGCCGATTCGACTTCGTTAATTTTCTCGGTACGTATGTCACGAGGCTTATCGCGAAGCGCAACATCCCGCGATAAGCTTACGGACGCACGCACATTGTACATTTCTGTCACTCGTCGGACAAACGCGGTTTTTTTCTCGACGCGCGCTTCTTGCGATGCGACGCGACGCATCTCGCGCGTCCGATCGATTCGCCGCGCGCGTAATTACGGGCCGATCGAAATAAGTCGACAACCCGGTTGCGACAACTTGTTGCAGAGGTGGGTTTACGGTGGCCGCGGCCACCGCATAAACACGTGGGATTTCGCAAAGAAGCGGTCTGCCTCTTAAAGCCATTACGACGATGATCGATCGATCTGCCGTATCACGCGATATCTGCATAATAATCAGCAGACGGTTCTATTAACACAGAATATAATCCAGGTGTTGCTCCGTCATTCGTAAAAGAAGAATCGTGTCTCGATACCGATTGCATCGAGATATCAAGTTCTCTTAAACAAAAAAGAACTTGAATTTTTTATTATATAATTTTGTGGCGGCTCGAATATAAAACGAGCAAGAATAAACAAAGATATTTGTCGAGTGAGATGTTTCGCTTCTACCGCGTTTAATAAATGACAGATTCTTCGGACTGGATTATCTTTTTTTCTCGCCTCTTGAATTCGTGCCTTTTGTGAATTGTAGTTTGATTATCGACACCGTCATTGTAATATAATTACTAACAGATTGACGATGTAAAAGTATACGCAATTACAGGTTGCCTCTCAGAGGATCGTAGTAAGTAACTCGTCGATCTGCCAACGTGCTCTCGCAAGTCTTGTTTCATTAACCCAATGCGCTCGCGGAGAGCCCCCACGAATAGGTGTAACATAATTAAGCGCTTTAACTCGCGATCAGGCCCCGTCGAGAGGTGTCGGTGTAAAGAAGCAAACCTCGAATTAATGTCAGTCCAGTTGATCGCCGATGATAACACATTATCTCGTTAAGCTCCGCATCGGCGATCATTAGCGTTTCTCGCCGGTGAATAGCCAGCCGCGGGATATCGAGATAAAAGTATCAAAGACGTCTCTCGTTCGAGACGTCGAGATTAAAGAACGTGCTTCAACAAAGCGTGCAATTATCAAGTCAATTAGAGTGAAACCGCAAGATATATTCGATTCAGCTTTTGCACAGAGGTTTTGCAATGAGGAGGACGTAAAACGCCTTTGCTGGAAAAAAGATGATAATAGAAAAGCAATAAAAAAAAAAGAGAAACCTCTGTGTCGTTTGATAATTCTGTGCCCTGTAATATACACGTCATTCGATGATTTCGTGCTATTGATGTGTATCTCTGTTGAATACTAAGTTGATTTTACCATTACCATATCTATCGTGCGAATTATTGACGTTCAGAGAATATTAATGCTGCTCTCATGCTGTGAATTCAGAATTACGATACACACAATTTTCATCGTATTAACGACAAATAATATGCAAAAACGAAAGCGATAAATAACAAAATGTATATCGATAATCTTGATCTTAATTGTAACTTGCTCCGCTCCTCTCTATATACTGACGACGACGATGATGACGATGACGATGACGACGATGACGACGGTGATTGGCAACCGGCAGGTTTTTAGAATAAATCTGGGCCTGTGTCTCGCTCCATTAAATTGCTAATGATCTCAGCGGCGGGACACGATGAGAGATCTGGTCGAGAGACTTGTCCTTACGAGCAGATCAAAGGAACTTAAGCGTGTATGTCAAAGACGCGATGACAACAATCGGTTGACTGATATCACTGATCTGACTTCATAGGTGAATATTTTGTATCATGCTTTGTATCGAGAGATGCAGTAGTGTTTCGTAGAAAGTAGAAGACTATGAATAAACTTTGTTTCGATACATACCGCTTCGAAATATTTCGTAGCACTATGCCACTATGTATTCCGTTCTTAACAGATTGTAAGTCTAACAGAATTTTCAGATCACACATTAATATATGATTAAGAAATTTTTTTTAGAACAAAGTTTCGAAAACGGTCCACTTGGCACTTCTGATTTCGATAAAACTTGTTTTTGGAACTCCATCCTTTTCTAAAATAATAATAATCGCGATAAATTATTTTTCAATCAAGCTAGCGTCCGATTTCTTTTCCCGAACACTTAATAATACAACAGTGGTGTATAATAATATAACAGAGGTACGTTAAATGCGTGTGTGTGTGTGTGTGAGGTTTCGGGTTGACGTTAATCTAACGGATTAGGTCGATGCAAGTCCGCATCTACGGGAGGTACGGAACGCGGAAATTACGGGCAATTTCCTTGTTCGAGCAAAAGAGCGATTCTAATCGAGTGAGAAACACATTACAACCCGCAGACACTTGTGCGCGATACTATGGACTTTGATACTATTCTTGTGCATTAAAGTGAAAACTCCCGAAATAATAAAATGAGACGGGCGAAACGAGATCGTAATCGAAGACCGGTAAATCGTTGGAAAAATTCTTCTTTTTTTTCCTACCTGCAACGACGCGGGATGAGAAGCTCTTATTTATGATAAAGTGTATAACAAAAGTGCCGACGTACTTACTATACAAGCGCCAATGTAGTAGTGGCCGCAATAAGAGATAATCAGTATTTAACGAGTTCCTACGTGGAATTTTCTTCCCCATTTTGCGCATTAATTACAGCGTAGAACGTATGTTGCTTAGTTAATGTAATGCATAATGAAATTAGTAGGAATAAGTAGTAATAACGTAACAACATTATATGTCTCACGAGTGTTCCTGCCTTGAGTGCTGTCGCAAAAAGATCAATTCTCCACGTCGAGAAGTTTCTCAATGGCTTCTTACCTGCAACAGAAATCAAATGCGTTGTTAATTACGAATAAAGAGGAAATATGCGAATTAATTTCGCGATGTCTTATTTAACTCCTGATCGACTCGACGAACCTTTAATAATACAATTAAGATTAAGGTCGCGAATTTTTTAAGACACTCTGTACGCAATAATCCCCAAAAATAGCGTGTCTTCTGACCTTCGGTTTTCGATTCGATTAATTTTACTTAAATTCGGAGACGAATTCGTGACAAGATCTCCGAAAGGCATTCACTTCGGGATGCCGTCAGATCAAAGGTAATCTTTCTTCTTATCAGGGACGAGTAGCAGTTATTAGATCACGAAGTTTCACCGCGATTGCTGATTCAAGATCGTTTGCGCGACGGCGATTTCCTACGGAATTTAAGCGGCGGTAGATAAAATCCCGGGCTGGAACAAAGTACGACGGGGAGGTTGCCTTTGAGCCCCCGGGGTTGGCTGCTGAGATAACGGCTCAACATACGACACAGTACGTTTCTCTCTTCAGCCACGAAATGCATACGCCGGCGAGCAAAAACGTTCGCGATGAAAATCGCGGAAATGTAGTTTGGCATAGAAAGACTGTCTGAGAGATAGAAAAGAGGGATCGCGGATAGGAGTATAGTACTATCAAATTACCTTATTATATGTTAACAGAGATAAGTACATTTAAAAGAAAGAGAGAGATATATATAAAAGCACATTTGATAAAACTTTCTAAACATGAGCAATTTGAATATGAAATAGGACAATAAAAAGTTACGAACAAATAAAATATAAAATATATTAAAAATTATAAAATAGTATGTTAATAAAAATATAAGCGCGCGCTTCTTGCTTTTCAATGCACATTATAATGATTAATATATTATTTATAGAAAATCAATACATGTATCATCGTTACTGTACCGTTTGCGTTCATTTGACAATATAACGTGACTATATAAACATATGGAGCTCTCGTGTCATAATAATGCGTCCCCAAGTTTAGTACATCATCTTTCATAAAACGAAAATTTCGCAAAAGTAAGAAGAAAGAAGACGCGGGGCTTGTTATCTTGTTATGCGTTTACGAAGCCAAATAGAAAACTTTCAGGGATAAAATCTAAAGTGAAATGATAAGAAAGATTCGACGTTTTTCCGCGACATAAAGAAGCTTGACGAGCTACGATTGGACGAGGCTAAGAAGATCACCATTTATTCCGGTCGACAATAGGAAGAGCGCCAGGCTCCCGGCAGTCTTCTCTCGCAAGAGGGAAGGATCGATGTATCGACCGTGCTACGGCGAATATTTGCATAAGAAACGGAGCTTCAAAAGCCGAGTTTCAACTTCCTTCTTCCTGGCGAATCGACGAGCGATTTTCCCCAGACATTAATGGCACGACGCCAGGTCGCGGCCTATAGATAATCGATACTGCCTATCATGTTGTGCTCTTGGCGTCGTGCGCAAAAAAAAAGAAATAAAATAAAAAGAGAGAGGACAGCATCCCCGATGTGCCGGGAATAGGAAGAGCCATTCCCTCGCTCACCCTCCTCTACCTTTTCCGCCCCCAGGGGAAAATAGAGAGTGGAAAAAAGGAAGAGGGCAGGATCTGGACCACGTCGATTTTTCCAACAACAGCAATAGGAGGAGGCGTGCGGGTATCCCGCTGCCGTTCGCAAGCGGCGTATCCAATAATTCACGTGGCAGCGCACGACCGCCGCTCGGCTCGCTTTGTCGTCTCGCGGGCGCGATTTATGGCCCGCGTCGGCCCGGCGTTTTGTAAGGTAAACTCGCCTCTTTCGGGCGCAAAAGGCCGGGGCGTTGCGTTTGGTAAACGCGAGCCCGCACATGTCATTGACGCAGCGTTCGGGAGCGCGGAACGGCGAACCGTGGCGCAAACACGTGTCGACGAGAATTGTACAGCGCTCGCTTTTTCGTACCTAGTTACGCGAAGAGGAAGATCTGAAATTTGTTCACATGCCGTAAAAAAAAAAGAAAAAATGTTTTACACGCTAAATTTTGGCACCAACAAGTTGAGATTATAACGAGTAGCATTGTGCTATTTTAGCGCGAGTACGCGGCGCCGAATTTTATCGCCCGCTGCAAAACGGATGTAAAGAATTGGGCAGATCTATCCCCGGTGGATTTTAACGTGAGAAAACGACTGGCCGGACTATCAGATAAACTCGGCCGAGTTTAGCAGACTGGGCATATCTCATTGTTCTAATCTCGGACATCTGACCGCATCTACGTTTCGACCTTCCCATCTCTGGCTTATGCGCCGAGCATTACGTTAAGGACGTCGTTCCGTCGGCGATCTACGGCCCCGCTTTAATATCTTATTACCGCGGATGAAGAGCTTCAATTCCCGGGGAATAATTTCCCCACCTCGCTCGCGCGCGCGCGTGCTTACGTATATATGTGTGCGTGTGCGGCGCTTAGGATCGGCATTATGGCGTAAATTGTGCGGCTTTCTACGGAACGGTGGATACCCAACGCGGAGATAATTTCCGTCCGCTTATCGCCGGGCTAGTCTCATCTTTATTTCATGAACCACGCGCAAGAGAGATATACATGTACATACATACTTATTTTAATTTATTTATTCCAGCCGGTTCATCTTAATTCATTTTTATTTTCGGATTACATTATAAAATGAAGTAGCGCGGTAATGTTGAAACGTAGCCAGAGATATTATACACAATATTCCTCGGAGATACTCGAGATATGAGAAATGATAATCTGAATTATGAACTGCGAAAGTGATTTGAGATGTAAACTACCAACCATGACTTCAACGAAATACCCTGGGAAAGAAATTTACGGCAAATGCACGTGGCATTGCATTAATATCTCTCAGTAACAAAACGGAATAACGAGCGAGACGCGCAAGAGGCTCTTTTCAACTTTTAATTAATACTTCCTCCAACCATCCTCCTCGTCGTCGTCGTCGTCGTCGTCGTCGTCGTCGTTGTCGTTGTCGTTGTCGTTGTCGTTGTCGTTGTCGTTGTCGT